AATTATTCTATAAAAAATGAACATAACATGTATTTTATAGTAGGTGTGTTTTCATTCAACAGCTACTGCTGGTGTGGCTGTCTGTGGGCTCAAAACTCCACATTGGAGACTTTGAACTGTAACAGCACAACCAACAATTCTCTTTGATTCTGTGACTATGTATAGACTTATGAGGTCTAACCATCTTAAGAAATATCATCCTGACTTTGAAGCTATAAGATGGTATATTTATAAAGGTAATATAAATTATATCACTTTAGGACATTTCTGGTTGCATTGTTCAAGGTACTACGATTATGGGACACATCTGGGACTCTTGCAGATTTTCTTTTCTTACTCACAATACACAGAACTGTAACCCATGTACAATGGGTAAAAAAGAGGACTTAAAAATCTAAGGTGTTTTGGTAAGGCAGAAGAGAAAAATGGGTCAACTCCTTGGAAACTTTACAATACATTGAGACGTAGTAAAAGCTACAGCTCAAATTTCATTTAAACACAAAACTATTTTCCACCTGCATGGCAAATTAACAAATTAATTTAAATTATAAGGACAGAATGAGGATGTTTGAAACATTCTGTATTTTCCATTTAGATTGGGATTCTTGGAATGTTGAAAAAATAAAGATATAAAATGGAATCAGGTTTTCATTCTCACAGGCTGAAAAAAAAAAGACAGAAGGACTTCTTTCAACTTAATTAGCATACTAACTGGACAGTCCCGTAACAGATGGTGCTCAGTGTTGACTGATTTGAGCTTTGACACTATTGCTGTGAAGTCACTTTTTAATTGAAAGACACTTACTGCACAAACATATGCTTAGTTTGAGGTCTTCCAGAAAGTTTTTAAGTAATAAAAAGGAGTAAAAAAGCTACACAATAAATTCAGTCATTACTGCATTTAAATTTAGAAGTGCTTGTTTAGTATTAAAGTATTAATTTGTGAAGTTATACTTATTTCTTAAATGATTAACATTTAATGATTCACTACAAATTTTACATTCATTACTATTAATTTTATTATGGTACATGAATAGAAAGTGGTCTGAAGCATCTTACCAATTGCAATGGTCTTGATATCAATTAAGTAAGCTAGCTTTTTGTTGTCTTCTATGCCCCTCTGTTTTCTCTCATTCAGTCGAACACTAAAAGCATAAACCATTGTTATTGTATTACAACAGTATAAATACTTTTCTACAATACTCACAATTAATTTAGGAATATTTGATTTGATTGCTTTACGTCTGACCATATGACACATACTGAAGTCCATAGACAGTTTTCTGTTTGTAGCATTCTCATGGATTTTAAATGCAACATATGTCTATAAAAATACTTGAATTGTGAATGAAACTCCCAAAAACTGATAATAGAAAAAGTATCAACAAACATGAGACCATCCCCTGCATTATCTGTTTTTAATGTCACACCACAAATACCTGAAGGTAGGCAAGGATATTTTAATATCCTGGCAGAAGAACAGTATAGTTGAGACTACACTTTTGTAGTCACAAATTGCACCTGTTAGCTAAATCACTTGGCTTAGGTTTTATCTTGCATGACTATGAATTTCACAGAGGTTACTTCTGTGTGGAAAAATTCAATGCAACCAATGTCCTAGAAGACAGACATATAAGGTGTAGACAGTTAATGTGTGGAAAGGAATGCCTAGTGACCTTAATACAAACCTTATAATCTACAAGTGCCTTTCATAAAAGCAAGGAAGGTAATGTTTGCAATCAGTATATGGTATTCTTCCCAAGTGGTTCTTTAAACAGAAGAAGCTGGTTATTGTGATATTCAATTTTTTCATGACAGGATTACCTTTTCAAATGCTCTGTCTTTATCATCATTATAATAGTTATTCAGTTTCAGATAGATATTAAGTTGATTGACTGCATTATGAGTGTATGATACTCTGTTGTCTTTGACTGTTGGCAAAATAAACAAGTGAGCAAAGTATCTCTCTAGATTTTTGTAAGCAGCATATTAATTGACCGCAGTGACATTTAAATGAGAGACACAAGCACACAATAAAAAAACTAAACACAAAAAGATAAACTTGTAATAGCATAAGAACCAAACTGTACATTACTTGACTATTATAATATTTAAACTGTGACAGCTAGGTAGAATAGGGCAAGAAAATTTGCTTGGACCAACATGAACGCAGAGCAATGATTCAAACATAGTTACTTTATTCAGTTAGTTAAAAGATCTTCATGCCATTATACTACTATAATCCCTAAGATAAACACACTATAATAAAATTATAGCTATACTTTTAAAATTAATTTTCCAAACTACAGGGACAATTTCAGTTAAAATGGAGAAATACTGCCACCTGCTGACAGATATGTTTGGGCAGTGCTGCTTCATTCATGCCCGTGACTTTTTTCCTTTAAGCAATTTTCACACAACATTTAAGCAGACCTTTTCTCTTAAATGTATTATGTTTACTCATTTACCTTGGTAGAACATTTCTGAAAAGTTAACCATGCAGGAAAAGGAACTTAGCATCTAAATGAAAATGTTTAATGAACACAAACAGATTATAACAGTAATAAACTTCCATATCAAGTGTATTTAGCACTTATTTTCATAATCCTGGTCCTATAGGGCCATTGTGTCTGCAGATTATCCAGGTTTTTTTTAAAGAGCTAGGAAATGTTAATACATGGGCCTAATTAAGCCAATAACAAGATGATTCAAGTCATTAAGAGCTCAGCTTAATTGAAGATCTGTAGAC